GTAGACTGGTGCAACCATTGTGGAGGTCAGTCTGGAGATTTCTCAGAAAGCTGGGACTGGAAGCAACATTTGACCCAGCTATTCCACTTCTAGGCATATTCCCAGAAGAACTGAAAGCATCATACCACAGTGATATATGTGTACCCATGTTTATAGCAGCACAATTTGTAATAGCTAGATCTTGGAAACAACCTAAGTGTCCATCAACTGAGGAATGGATAAAATTTGTAGTATTTTTATACAATGGAGTACTACTTAGCTATAAAGAAGATCAAATTGAGACATTTATAAATAAATGGACGCAGCTTGAGACCATACTCATAAGTGAAATAAATCAAATTCACATGTATAAATACAGAATAGTTTCCCTAGTGTAAAAAATGGCAAGAATGCATGAAAGTACGTGGTAATTGGGATTCTCAGTCACACTGGTTTGAAGCCATATAATGTTTTCACTCATTAATTGGAATGGTTTTAATCTGGGTTGTTTTATTTTATTGTCTGTGATACTACAAATAACTATTTTGAAGAAAATAAGAGCGTAATAGCTAGTGCTGATTTAATATCATCCTGGTTTGAAGCCCCATCAACTTGTTCTTCATCTGTTTCCATTTGGTCTAACATGTTTCTTACTATATTTTAATGCATGCAATAGTATAAGCAAATTTTTTATAGGCAAAAAGATAATATAGAAACAGATGTTCGGTTTCTGTTAGCTGGTTCTAAATACCCTGCAATAATTTCATTCTCTTGAACGGTTTCACACTGTCTTGATGAGTTTGATGCTATAGTATACGAAGTTAGACTCAAATATTTCAAGGAAAGAGTCACTATGGTAACTACTATTAATGTCAGGCTATCTGGTGGTGAAACACAATGATGCTTAAATTTTTCGGTTCTGACCGGTGTTGTTCTATTGATATATTCTTTTTTATCTCAATCTCCCCCCTTTTTCTTTTCTTTTTTTTAATTAATTTATTTCTTAGTATCTTTTAACTAAGGGAAAACTAAATTAAAAATAGTGCGATAGATTATAGTAACTTTTTTGTTTCCATATTAACCTGATTTGAACCCCTGTGTTGTTCTCCACATCTTGTTCTGACTGATTTTATTATATTCTGTTTTGCTTAATAGTATCAAGTTTGAGGGTATAGGCAACCATTTGGAAGGCAACCAGATATTCTATGATGCCCATTATTGTTTGACTATTATCTGCTTTGGAAGTGCTGTAAGCTCTCCAATGTGGGTTTTATTGGTCTTCTGTATTGTTTTGTTCAATTCTTTTATACCAGCTGATATAGGCAACTCTTTTTAGGATAACAAGAGGCATAATGGTAACCATTGTTGATCACCTAGTAATCGTTTTTTTTTTTTTTTTTTTTTTTTGCATTATATACTATGTCCATCCTCCTGTTCTAACAGACTCTATTTCGCTTTGTCACATTGGGTTTTTCTTTGGTCTGTCTTGTTTTGTTTTGTTTTAGTTTTTGTTTGGGGGTTTTTTATCTTTTTTTCTTTTCCTTTTCAAAGAAAAATTTACAAGAACTGTGAGAGTAATGGAAACCAAAATGTGTGATTGTTAGCATAAAAAAGAGAGGAAGGAAAGTGATCTAAAGGATATAATTGCAAGTATATTTAAATGTGTAGGATAGAGAACCATGTTGCTGAGTTTTTCTTGGATCATTGAACAGAACTGACTGCAATCTCACTGTATTAAAGTCCACTTTGCTTTAATTTTGTAATCTGGACATCTGTTTCTAAGATGACAATGTGTGATCTATTAACTAGTGAATTCTTACTGTATATTTTTTCTCTTGAAATTCTGTATTACTTCTAGCCTTTTACTGTTTTGCTTCGTTTAGTTTTGTTTTTCTCTTTAAATAAATAAAACATGCAAAAAAGAATGTAATGATTGTCAGGATACAATAATATGTATGGTTCTGATTCTTGATTTACTATGTAAAATATGTAACTGTTAACACTGTAGGTATTCAAATGTTAAAATGTCCATGGATAGTAGAAAATAGGTTTCATTTAATACACTAAGTTGCTTCATTTTTAGATAAAATAATAACATTAAACTTCCCACCTCTAATATACTGTATTGTTATCAATCGTTTCTTCTGGATGTTCAACAGCTAAGGTATAGAGGCCAAAAATTAGAGAGACAGATGGGCTAAAAAGATAGTCAATATTTTGGCCCCAGCCCTTCAAGGTTGATGGAGATCCAGGATGTGAAAGAACTTCTGCTTACATCATCCTTGCCATTTGTATTTCTTCATCTGAGAATGTGTATTCATCTCAGTTGCCCATTTTTGGATTGGGTCCTTGAGTTTCGGGGATCTGTTTTTTTTTTTTTTTTTTTTAATTCTTCATATGTTTTAGACAAAGTCCTTTCTCTGAGGGACAGTTCACTAAGATTTTTTTCCCAGTTTGTGGGTTTTCTTTTCAATATGCTGCAGATTTCTTTTGACATGCAGAAACATTTTAATAAGATGTGATCCCAGTTATTGATTCTAGGAAGTAATTTTCCATGCGGTTTGATTCCTGTTCATGAATTCTGTACCACCCTTATGTCTTCAAAGTTTTTACCCAATTTGTCTTCCAATAGACATAGTGTTTCTGTTTTAATATTCAGATCTTTGATCCACTTAGATTTTAATTTAGTACATGGTGATAGGCATGGTCTAGTTTTAGTTTTCAACATATGGAGAGCCAGTTTTTCCAACACCATTTATTAAAAATATTATCATTCTTCCAGTGAACATGTTTGGCCCCTTTATCAAAGAACAGGTGATGAGTGATCCATTGATCTTTGGCTTTGTTTTTATTCCAGTACCATGTTGATTTTACTACAGTTGCATTGTAGTATAACTTCAGGTCAGCGAATGTGATTGCTCCTATCTTGCCTTTGCTGCTTAGAACTGTCTTTGCTATTCTAGGTCTCTTCGGGTTCCAGATGAATTTTGGGAGTGATTTCTCTAGAACTGTGAGGTATTTTGAAGCTATTTTTATTGGAATTGCATTAAATCTGTATAACAGTTTTGGGAGAATGCCCATTTTTATGATATTTATTCTTCCTATCCATGAGCAAAGGATGTCTTTCCATTTTCTGAGATCCTTTTCAAGTTCTTTTTTCAGTGTGTTATAATTTTCCCTATATAGATCTTTCACTTCTTTCATGAGGACATTTCCTAATTGTTTCATTTTTTTGGTTGCTAGTGTTACAGGTGTGGCTTCTCTTATTTCTGTCTCTTTGATTTTGTTGTTAGTGTATAGGAATGTTATTGATTTTTGAGTATTGATTTTGCATCCAGCTACATTGCTGAATTTATTTTTTATATATAGGAGTCTTTCAATGGAGTTCTGGGGGTCTTCTATGTAGAGTATCATGTCATCTGCAAACGATGATAATTTATATTCCTCTTTTCCTATCTTTAACCCTTTTATTTCTCTCTCTTGCCTAATTGCTCTGGCTAGTATTTCCAGTACTATCTGAAATAGGAGTGATGATAAAGGACATCATTGTCTTGTGCCTGATTTTAAGGTAAAGCCCTTCAGTTTTTGGCCATTTAATGTGATACCACATTCTCTTCACGACACAACTTTCCTCATCACAATGATTTTCACTCAAATGAATAACCTGCATAAGAATTATTTTCTGTAGGGCACACACAGATATGCAGGTTTTATGATATGTCTTCACCAAGTCATGTTGATGACAAAATTAACAATCCAGAGTCATCCCAGGCCTGAGAGGAGAAATAAAAACCTAATTTGCCCTTCCTGTGAGCTTGTGGGAACCATGCTGGTCCTGGGAGGGGAAACAAGGCAATGTGCCCAGCTCGTGATTCTGTCAAAGCTATTCTAGTCCTCAGAAGAAAAACAGGAAAATAACTTGCCCTTCCTGTGAGCTAACCAGTGGATTACAGGAAAAAGAGCAGCACAATCATGTCCTCCTAACCCCAAGCATCTGGCTGGTTTAGAGGACAGACTGAGTTGATAGCAACTGAGGTATAAAATAAACTCAATCCTTGTATTATTTGATTGACTTTGCATGCATAAGGCTAGTAGTCTTAAGCATGTATTAAGAGGATAATACTATGCAATATAACAAATATGAGTGTTTTCCTTATGTCTTGCTTTTGAAATACTGTTCTCACTGTTTTGTTCCATTTTGTTGTCTTGTTTTATTTAATATTCTATTTTGATCAGTTTTATTCTCTTTTGTTTTGTTTGATCTTATTATATATGGTGGTAAGGCCAGTAATTAGATTTTGAGTACTGGGAATGAACTCATGATCGCACACTTGCCAGTGGCACTTATGCCACTGAGCTAAATCATAGCACCTATGGGCAGCAATTCTGAAGATAACAAAAGGCATTATATTAGCCATTGTTTATTTCCTATTATCCTGTTTTGAAATCCTGTGGCACTTTACTGTTCTCTTTTGACTGACTTTATACTGTTTTGTTTGGTTTTATTTTCTTTAAAATGAAAAAGATTAATAATCCAAAACCAAGAAAATCTAAATAAAATTTATATTAATATATGTGTGTAGTGTATCTTTATATTGGTTACCAGAATGTTGTACATGAATACAGCCTATTTGAACTCTTTTATCTCACCTTCCTATCTCCCTGTTCCCTCTTCCATCATTTCATCATCCTATTTCCATTTGTAAAATATCTCTCATTTTCCAATTACTGATCTGTTGCTTTTTGTTATAACAGTAAAATTAGAGTATTTGTGAGGAAAGTCAGTCACCTATATATAGCACCTTCCTAAATATACAAGTGCATATGGATTTCATCATCCTTCCTACGTTTCTAAGTAAATCCACAGATTATGATTCCAGTGAAGAGATGCCAAGTTATGGTTGTCCAGTCACATTGTCACCCTGAAAATGGAAAGCCACAAGTGCACAGTGCAAACGTGATGATCACAATCATATGAGTTCAATACATGAAAAAAAATATGCGGTTCATCTACTAAACAGTTTGATGAAGGGCTGCCTTTATTTTGAGGTATCAGCTTTGCTCTGGTATATCCAGTAGGTGGGGTTGAGGGATATGGAAGCAGCCAACATAATCATACTCCCTATTTATCCACATGTTAAGTTTGTCAGTGCAGTAGGACCTAATATTAAAAACTACAAACATAAAAATTACTAGGTTCAAATCTTGTGCCACACAGCACGACTAAATTTTAAGCCACTATGATCCACTGTTAGCATCAATTTATCTCAGATCTACTGATGTCACATCATGAAAAGAAAGATGAGTACAACAGCAAAAGCAACATTCCAAGAAAGACAGCACATTCACTGGGCACCAGCTACACTATAATTTGAATAACCAATTCAGCATCATTAATTAAGTTTAAATGCATAATTTATCATTTAAACTTTTGATATATATATATATATATATATATATATATATATATAATGCTGTGTGTGTGTTTCATTACTATCTACTGTTGGAAGCATATATTGGGCAAACTGAATCATGTTCATCATATAAGGGGCATTACACTTCTATTTTAATAGAAAAGCATATGACTCTTACATTACAGACTTGTAACAACAGAAGAAAAGACAGAAATTGCCTGGAGAATTCACATGACAGACTACCTTGCTACATGACAAAAAGCATGTACATTGCCCAAGAACAACTACTCTTCCACTTGAAAGTCTAAATCACAGGTTTTCTTAAAATTTTTTTGTCTTACTCTCAAGTGACTATGTTGTTTTCACATGGGAGGTGAATGAACCTAAGAAGGAATAAACCTGGAAGAAGAATACATATTTGAAAAGGAAATACCATTTTAAAATGTTCAGTATATATTGTAGAAAATGTTTTTGGGTTTATGGTAGTATATATTAGAGAGAAAGACAGTGTCTAATGGCAAAGACAACACAGGTATCACCAAACAGACAGCACTAGGACACAAGCATCACCTGGACCTTTAGAAAACTACTGATAAGGAAGCAGAAGAGCTCATGTTTGAGACATTGTTCCCCAAACAGGTTTCATTACATATAAATATGTGTCTTAGTCTGTAAATATTGCTGCAATGTGGGTTGATTACATCTTCAAAATGGGGCCATACTGGAGCTAACAGAGAAAGAGCAATGAATTTCCCTTGGTGCAGAATGGACAGCCATGTTCCTTGGTAGGTGGTCTCCAGCTGAAGATATCACCAACAGAACACTGAAAAGTGCAAAGAATTAAAATGCTTCAGAGTGTTGGAGTGTTAGACTCATACACAGAAGTCACAAAGAAAGCAGAATCCACAGTCATTAAGTGCACATTTCATTTCTGAAGCTGTGACCCTACTTTTCTTGGGAGTTTTTACAGTTTTGATTTTGACATGCATAGACTGATGGGTGTGAATCTCTAATTTTCATACATTAAATATTTGTTTTCCAGCTCATAGATAGATTCTTTCTTGTACTTTCTGGAGAAAAGTGTGATGAATTTTGCAGTTTAGTGATAACCTTAAAGTGACTTCAAGTAAGGGTCTTCTTCTAGTAAATATTAGGGTATTGGAAGTTGCATTTTGAAAATGGGAAAAGAGAGCAGCAGGCCATGGTCAGGTCTCAGATTTGAAATTTTTACTTCTTGCCTAGTCACCAGGATTCACTGCAGCACATCATTTCAACAGTTAATTTCATCCTCTACATGGAAAAGATATTTACCTGTGTGAATGTGAATATTTCCTTTGATCATTAGTGCATCAGTTGGCTTTCTTCTCACTTTTGATTCTTGTGTAGAATCCTGGTGTTGAAGAAATGTAATAGATGTGTTAATAATTAGTATCTTTATTTTATATTTTCTTATTTTTTTTTAGCAAAGTGTGCATAGACAGATGTGGTGGCACACTCCTGTAATTTTAGCAATCAATGGAGATTACACATAGGAATTTCACATTTAGTTTGCAGGATTGCTGGGCAATAGCAACATACTGAAAATTTTCTCAAGGAATTATGGCTGGGGATACGGATATGCACATGTGCCCTGATTGGAATGCCACCTGAAAAAAAAAATAAAATGGCTTTGTTGGCTAATAATTGTGAGAAAATCTTAGCAATGAATCCAACTGCCCCATTCCACACTGCTCAATGATGATATCCCACAATTCATCCTCTACTAGGGAAGCATACATGGTGTGTGAAGCCCTCCCTCTCTGAGTTCTGCTGTCTCCATGTGATATAGTGTGGAAATCTGAGCACACTTATTGTTCTATTTCCAGGAAAGAACTGTAGTAATGTCTGACTAAATACACTTGAAAAGTTGACATCTGCTCTAGAAGGGCAAGAGCAAGTTTACCTTAAATGCAGTCAACCCAACTGGACCACAGGTACAACCTTTCTTTCCTTTCTTTTTTGTTTTCTTCAACTGATTTTCTTTCTTTTTTCCTCAAATAGTCTTGAATTTAAAGTTTCAAATGAGTTAGAATTGTCCCTGCCTGTATTGGTTACTTTTCTCTCATTGTTAAGACATTACCTGACATCCAAAGAAAAACAAGAAAGATTTATTTGGCTTACAATTTTGGCAGATTGTAGTCCACACTCAGCTCACTTCCAGGCAGAGAGGCATGGTTGGGGGCAGCTGTCCACAGTGGCTGAAAATCACAATCATAAAAGAGGGAAAAACATGCCTCCATACTTCTGTTCCATTGTGTGCCACCCAACTCCCCACCCTTGGGCAGGTGTAGTACTCACACCAAATTCTCAGCACTAGGACAATGAACCAATCACAAATGCTAGATTTGCCTCCATGATTGCATGAGACTTGAGGAGGGCTTTCCAAACACAAAACATAACACTGTCCTTTCTGATTATTCCCTCACTTTCTATTTCATTTCTTTCCTGTTGTGTCCTTTAGTTTCCCAAAACTTGGGTCATCATTCTTTGACCTCCAGTTTTCACAGTACTGTGTATGACCTCATTAGTCACTTGAGCCCACCTCTACACACCTAAGCTTCTATCCCCATACAGAAGGGTAAAATCACAACACTAAGTGGAAAGCAACTGCATTGAAGTGGTGGTGTATTTTTTATTTCATTAAATAATTATTGAGTTTGCTCCTGTGAACAGAGGTAACCAGTTATGATTGCCATGGTTTGTAGTAAGCTGTAGTTGAGACAGTTGTTATTATTGATTGTTCTGTCTTAGCCAGTTAGTACTATAATATGTTATAAACAGTTCTCTCATGTACAATAACACTGTGAATGTAGGGGATCATAAGCAGCTCCACAGTCCAGTACCAAGTATTGGGGACTAAGCTACATGAGAATTTTGCATCCTTTACAGATGAGAAAGGTAGGGTCTTGGGATAGCTATAAAAATCCAACCACATCTGAAGGATATGCATGAAGAACAGACATCTCCTTCCATCCTTGAGGGAAGCCGCAATACTAGTAATAAAGCTGTATATCATAGGAGATTGGCACATATCAACATAAAAAAGGAAATGAAGGAGAAAATAGAAAATGACAAGATGCAGAAGCAAAATGAAACCCTAGACTTGCAGCCCACTTGTTGAAAGCCCAGAGAACAATGAGGTACAAAATTGCATACCAAAAGCTGGAACATTCTGAAGTGATAACAACAAAATTGAAAAAAAGTGGAAAAGTTTACAGAGAAAATTTGTAAGAAACAAAAAATGCTTTAAGTCAAATTTATTAGAGAACACACAAATAAAATAATAGATGAACTTAGGAAAATGATGAAAAACAAAAATTGCCCAACATAGCAAACAAATGGAATCCATGAAACAGATCCAAACACAAATTCAAGAGGTGAAAACCTATATAAGAGATACACAAAACCTGTAAGATATTAAAAGTATATTTAACAGATGGAACAAAACAGAGTTTTATAATTTCAGATCTTCGAGACAAAATTGTAGCTAGTGATCATGAAAAGAATGCTACCTTAAAAGTAGCAACAGACTATCAGAAATCAATCCAACAGGTACAAAATGAAGTAAGGAAGAATAGTATGTTATTGATTGAGGTCAATGAGAAAGCTGGAGACAGCACAAATACCATAAAAATGTTCACAAAAATAATTGCAGAAAACTTCCCAAGAAAGGATAAAAAATTTGACATTGAGGGCCAGGGATTTAGCTCAGCAACATAACACTTGCTTGGCAAGTGAGATTTTGTGAATTCAATCCACAGCACAAAAAGGAAAAAAAAAACACAAGAAATTGACACACAGATAAATGAAGTATATAGAATTCCAAACAGACATAATCAAACTAAAACTACACCAAGATATATAATATTCAAGATTCCAGATTCCAGCACAAGAACACAATACTAAAACTGTTAGGTAAAAGTCAGAGATCACTTATGATTGAAAGCCCATCAGAATCATGGCAGTCTTTGTTGTATTATAACATAACTGTCACCATCTTGAGCCCTGCATTTAACTAGTGCCCTGTATTTGCACCAGGAGAATGGAAAATTACTCAGGGCACAAGTCCTATGAGAAAAGCAGAATGAACTGCACATACAGGAGAAAAATTACCCTGCTAAACAAAAGAAGCATGATACAGGGGTAAACTAAAATTTAATGTCAGATTCTAGCTCAACTGTTTCCAATCGGATGTCATTTGGTGTTTTCTGTTTAAACGCTTTGTAGGTTTCCAGTTCAGGGCCACTTGTTTGGACTCTGAAATGGGCAGGATTTGTATATGAGTGGTCCTGAGTTAAGTTAATTAAATTCCAAATTTATCAATTTGGCTGCTTGGATTCCTATATTTTTGTTCATGAATCTACCACAGTCTTCTCAACACAAATATCCAAGTGAAGAAGAGTTCAGACAGAATTACAAGTTCTGAAAGAAAAGAACATCCATCTAGAATAATGTATCCTGAAACACTTTGAAAATTAATGAAAACATAAGATACTTCCATGACAAAGAACAACTGAAGAAATATATGACTTCAAACTGACTATAGAAAAAGTAATGCAAGTTATACTAGAGAGAGGTAAAAATGGCCACAATTCTAAGAACAACCCAGAAGCTACCATGCAGGACAAATAATTAAGCACAGGATAAAAGCAGAGAACCAACAGCAGAACAATATTACAACAAAGACAAACCAATACATATCATTCCAAAAATATGCTGTATACAGAAAACATGTTTAAGTAAAAAAGAAATTCAGAGACTAAAACTCAAAGGACAGAAAACAATTTTCCATGCAACAAGGGCCCAGAAAAAAGCATGAGTAGCTATTATCCTTGCAGACAATATGAACCTCAAACCAAGAATGATCAAAAAGATAAAGAACCTTACTACATACATGTTAAGGGAAAGTTTTTAAAGGTAAAGATTACAATCATAAATATATGTGCATCTAATACATGAACACCCAACAATATAAGGCAATTACTAAAAGACATGAAAAAATGATACAAAAAATAACACAATTGATCCAGGAGACTTCAATATCCCACTATCACAAATAGATGAACTAGACAAATAATCAGCAAAGAAATATGAAAGCTGAAACAAATCTTTGAACAAATGAACTGAATAGATGTTTACCAAGTATGTGACCTAACATAATCAGAATACATATTCTTCTCAGCTGTGCATGGGAGGTTCTCTAAAACAGCCCATATAAACTAGTCCACAGAACATGCTGAAGTAAATGCAAACAAATTGAAGTTACCACATGAATTTTACCTGACCATAGTGCAATACAATTTGGAACTAATGGTAAAAGAAATTGCAAAAACGTCATAAATATATGGAATTTAAATAACACTCTCCCAAACAATCAATGTGTCTCAGACAAAATAAAGGCAAAAACTTAAAAATATCTACAACTCAACAAGAATTCAGATGCAAAAGCCTGGATCTCATGGGATTCATGAAAGCCCTCTTATCAGGGAAATTTATAATAGTAAAATCTCACATCAGGAAATAGAAAGAGCACAAATAAAGAATCTACTGTTGCACCTCACACTTCCACAAAAATAATGGCAAGACAAACCCAAAGCCCATACAACGGAGGAAACTATAATGATCAGAGAAGAAATTAATGCAATGCAGAGCAAGAAAACACTACACAGATCTAATGAATCAAAGAATTGGTTCATTTGAAGAATAAACAAAATTGATAAACCCTTAGCCAACAATATCAAAGAAGAAAAATACTCAAAACTGTTCATTGAGGAATGAAAACAGTAAGATAAATACAGATCCTGTGAAAATTCAGAAGATCATCAGTATCTACTTCAAAAAATTATGCTTTCCTAGGTTGGATAATATAGAAATGGATCCATTCCTAGATACATATGAATTGCCAAAGCTGACTCAAGAAGATATAAAAATCTAGATAATGTAGTATCAGTTAAAGAGACTGAAGATCAAAATAAATTGTATCAGTCACTGCCCATGGGGTGCATGCCTATAATCCCAGAACTTGGGAGGGTGAGGTAGAAGGACTGTTGTGAGTTTGAAACTAACCAGGGCTACAAAGTAAGCTCAAGGACTCTCCAGTGCATCATAAGACTCTCTTTAAAATACATTAAAATAAAGCAAAAACAATGATAACAAAAAACCAACTGACCAACATATAAAAATGTCCTTATGGATTTACTGCTGAATTTTACAAGAAATGTAGAGAAAATTGAAAGCTACTACTCTTTAATAAAATTGAAAGAGAAGAAGTTCTCCCTAATTCACTCCTGGAGGCCAGCATTACCCTGATACTAATACCAGAGAAAGACACAATTAGAAAAAGAAAACTATAGGCCAGTTTTCCTAATGAACATAGATGCAAAAAGTTCTTAATAAGATACTAGCAAAGTGAACGTAGCAAATCACCAAGAAGATTTTAAAACCTGACCAACTTGGATTCATCCCAGGAAGGCAGGGATGTTAGAGTACATGCAAATCAACAAATTTAAATGTCATATCCACACAGGCAAAGACAAAAGTCACATGGTGATCATCTCAATAAATGCACAATAAGCTTTTGATAATGTCAAACACTTATTTGTAATAAAATCCTATAGTTCATAACAATCGAGGGCCTTTAACTCAATCTGAATAAAACAAGAAAAGACAAAGATATACCCAGCATCATATTAAATGGAGAAAAACTAAAAACTTTCACATTACTATTAAGAACAAGAAAAAGATGACTACTATGTCCACTCCTATTCAATATAGTTCTGGAAACATTAGGCAGAATGATTAGACACAAGAGAGAAATAAGAATAATCATATAACAGAAAGTAGTTAAACTATCATTTTTCACAGATGACATGATATTCTATGTAGAAGATGCCAATTACGCCACCAAAAGACTTCTAAACTTAACCAAATTCAATAAAGTAGCTGGAGACAAAGTTGACAATCAAAAATCAAGAGCATTCCTGTACACAATCAACTCACTAAGAGAGAATTTACAGAAACCACACCCTTTACAATAGCCTTCAAGAAAATGAAATACTTGAAAGAACCTAACAAAAAAGTAAAGGACTTACATATTGAAAATTATAGTACTTTGGCAACGGATACTGAAAAATTATCAGAAATTGAAAGATATCCCTTGCCCATTCTGTGCATTGTCTTTTCACTCTCAGTGATTTCT